TAGAGTCAGGGTCTCTCCCACCTGAATCCCTTCAAAGCTCCATTCAAATTTCTATCTCCTCCAACCCATGTGCCCCTTTCCAACTGCTAATAGTCTATGTCACTCTTCACACCAGTCTGAACAGACACTGCTGCTCATGGCTTTGTGTGAGAACTAAAGAGGACGGGAGAGACTTCCTTTTCCCCAAGATCCCAACACCAGCACTATGAACGGGGCCCACCTAAAAGACTAGACCAGGATAAGGATGGGCCTGAGTTGGGGGGCAAACATCAGGCCAGAGTCAGGGGGCTAGCTCACCCAAGCCGTGTGTTCCCTCAGGTAACAGCCCCGGTACTGAATGGTATTGGGATGCCGGAGCTTCTGTAGAAACCGAACCTCCTTGATAATGTCCTGCCATTTCTGGGAGGCGGTCAAGGGGAAGAGAGGCTTACTAACCTGCATCTTGAGATTGGGGTTTCTTGCCTCCACCCAGTCTTGTTAAGCCTAACCCACCTCATTTGACTGCTTCCCACTGTATGACATCTTCTTAATGGCCACCACTTCATTATTCCGGACATCCCGGGCCTAAAGGACCAGACCAGAAGGTAGGTGAAGGCACCAGTGAGAACTGAGCAGTGGAAAGACTTGCTGGCACAGTAGGGGAAAGCAGGAAAGGCTGGTGTAGTGGAATATTGTAGAGGACTATTTGGAAGTCCACAGGAAAAAGAATGCAGTCCCCATCGCTACCCCACCCTCCCAAGCTTCAACTTACAAAGTACACAGCTCCAAAGCTGCCATGGCCAATTTCCCGAAGGTCGGAGAAGAGCTTTTCGGGGTCATCCTTGAAAAAAAGCTCAGCCACATCAGGGTCCTTCAGGCTCCCGGCCCGGCCCCCAGCTGGCATGGTGGCCCCTGAGGGCCCTGAGAGTGGGGACTGACCTGGAGAATGAAAATGGGACCCTTAGTGCAAGGATGGGGCTCTCAGAGAGAGGAAGGGACCCCTCAAGTTTATCTTTTCCTTCCTTAGTTCCCTGATGAGGGGGAGGCACAGCTGAGGAAGGGCAGGGGGGGAGTTAGGAACAATATCAAAGCTCCAAAAAATGAAGCTGCCCTGGCAACCAGAGCATGGGGCCAGGCCAGAGTCCCTAAAACTCCTAAGATGACTGGGAACTATTTATCCTCACCAACCCCCTCAACCCTTAACAAATTCCATTCCCCTACAACCCTTACTTCTCTCCTCAAGAATAAAAGATTTTGCCTCCCAGCCAGAAGCCCAAATCCCAAAGGGTCCTGTCTCACAAGTCCCATACTCCAAATATTTCCAGGCACCTTCCGATTCCCCTTGGAGTTGAGGCCCCCCCACCCCCTCAACCTCTCACACCCTGGAAGAGAGCAGGAAATAGCCAGGCCGGAGGTAGTGGAAATCCGGCCATTGTTAGAAGTGGGTACTGGCCCAGAAGGGCCAGAAGACTCATTCTCAAAAAGGGGCTAGGGACACTGGCAGTGAGGTCTAGAATGAGAAGGACAGGGCTAGAAATGGCATCTGGCTTGGGGGCCTCCCTGTGACCTGAGCTGCCTTATTTGTCCATTCTAATGGCATAGGCATCACACACTGGTATAGGACATTCCCAGTATACCAATAACATTTATTAAGCATGTGTAATAACACCTTGGATGTATTACCTCTCATTCAGTCCTCACCACAACCTTATGAGGTTATTACTATTACCCCTATTTTGCAGATGAGTAAACAGGCTCAGAAAGGGTGACTTTCCCAAAACTGGTCCTCTACCACTGTGCATTTAAAACAGCCCTATGAAATAACCAGGGCAGGATCACGACACCATTTCACAGACAAGATCACTGAGGCACAGAAAGGACTTGGAGGACTTCTCCAAGGTCAGAGAAGAGGACTTTCTCCTCTCCAGTCAGGCATGTGTGCTCATTACTCTCTCAGCAACTCACTACAAGCTCAGATCCCTCCTGCCTGAAGCTTCCCCTGACCACTCCAGTGCTTAGAGAGAGCTCCAGGAGCACCCACCCAAACGCCCAGAGAAAGCTCCTTCATCAAAGTCAAGACCCCCAAGGGGATCCCAGGCAACTTCTGACTAGGCACTTGTTGGAATTCAGGCACAAAGAAGCCTTCAGCAGAGCTGGACTCCCAGGGCAGAGTTCTAGCCCTCTAAGAGAGCCTAACAATTTAGCATGTAATTATATTTTGTCATGCATTGTTTCCTATTGTGTTGTTAATTTTGCCTCCTCAGCCCAACTGGAAGCTGGAGGACAAGAAGCAAGCCCAGCTTTCTCCAGTGGGCCCCTAGGGTGCACAGGGCTCAGAATAGCCTGGGAGATTGATTGATTAGCCTCAGCAGCTCCAAGGCTGCTCAAAGCAGGCCCCTTTCTTCATTCTCCTGTCAGCAATCCTGCCAAGAACCCCTCACCCCCACCACATACCCACACACAAAAGCAGGTGCTCAAAACCTGCCGAAGTAATCTTCTTGACCTCTTTACCAGCTCCCAACCAAGAATGTCACCACAGAACCCTAGGCCACATCACATGAGGCCTCTTTCTCAAATAACATTGAACGTTTGATCAACTACCAAGGTCTGTGCTAAATCATAACCACCTTCTAAAACGGACAATGTTATCTCCATTCTGCAGATGAGGAAATCCAAGTGTGTCTGTCTCTACACTACCAGTAGTACATTTCATCCTTAATGTACAGCAACAGGGCTTTGAGTAATATCCTTATACTCCATCCTCTCTTCAGTACAATGAATTACAGCATAGGTCTGCTGTGACATTTTTTCCCCAAAGATTTTCTGTATTTTTTAAAGAGAGAGGAAAGGAAGGAGAAAGAGAGGGACAAAGACATCAATGTGTGGCTGCCTCCCACATGCCTCCCCACTGGGGACGGTGCCTGCAACCCTGACATTTGCCCTGAATGGGTATCAAACTGGCAACCCTTTGGTTTGCAAGCTGGTGCTCAATCCACTGACCCACACCAGCCAGGGCTCTGTTGTGAAATTTTTAATGAGATCTCATACTTAGGAACACTATACAGACACTCAGCATATGGATTTTTCCCTTCCTGCATCTAAGATCACCACAACAAGGCTTTAATACTTTGGGGATCACCCTACCCCAGCAGCTTGGCTTTAACACCACTGAGGCTATAATCTGTCAGAAGAGAGAGTCCTCCTCACAAGGGACCCAGGCCAAAGACTGGGATCACAATAAAGATGAAGGTCATGGTGAAGAGAAAAATCCATGAGGCAGAAGGTAGGAGCCAGAGTTCCTGAGTATAGCTCTCCTAAAAAGGAAGCTCTTCTTCTTCCCATTCTTAAATCTTACCCCAACCCAAATTCTGATTCTGCCACTGAGTGACTTTGGGCAACCTCTCTGGGCCTTAATATTTTCAACTGTAAAATGGGAAGATAGCAATAAAAGGGTGAAGGGAGGGTCACATGAGAAAATGGATGTAAAGCACTTTGCAAATGATAGACTGCTTGACAAATAGATTATATATGATCATAGCCAAGAGGTTGGAAGGTAACTAATGTAACCGGGGGGAAATACTGCCAGGCACCCCCAAACACAAATGCATACACACATTTCCTTGAAAGGACAAGAAACCTAACCAGACCATGCCTAAAAAACAGAAAAACAGACCCACCATGGAAGTCAGAGGCACGGAAATCAACACTCCAGAACAATCAGTTAAAAGGGTTATAATCATGGGAAAGAGGTAGCTGTGAGGGGCAAAGTGAACAGGGGAGATGAGAGGGTGCAAACCCACCTGATTAGCTCAGGCACCTAGGGCGTGACGCTCGGTGACATCAGAAACCCTGTCATCTGAGGTCCCCCATCAAACAGACATAATGAAGGGAAGAGGAAGGGGAAGAGGGTGGCAGCTGAAAGCAAGGCTAGCCAGAGGCTGACCACTGGCCCAGCTGGGCTTCCCCATCCTGAGGTAAGGGCCCACCTAGGCCCAACTTCTGAGAAAGGCGCACCCTTTCCTATCTATTAATGCTAGACACAGGGACCCACGTCCCTGCTCCCCGTGTCTCACCTGGTAGGGGTCACTATGGTGCCCCAGCGCTTCCGACTCCTCCTGAGGTGCTCCAGCGGCTCTGCCAAGCTGGGAGAGGGGCAAGGAGGTCTTTCCCCTTGCCACCTCTTCCTCGTCTTTCTCCCTTCCTGAGGGGCGGGCCCGGGAAGCCTCCCCTGGAGGGGAGGAGGTAACAACCTGATCTGACCTCGCGGTCCAGTCCTCCCCCTCGAGGGTGACAGTTGCTGAGTCCCGGATTTCTGATTGTGGGATCTGAATCCCAGATATTTCAACGTGGGGAGGCTCAACCTGGTATTTGAACGCGTGGGGAATGAACCCCGGATACTGGTGCACGAGGGGCCCTGAACCCCAGATATTTGAAACCCTATAAAACAAGAATCCCAGATTTAGAGAGACTGGGACCCGAGTCGCGAATATCTCAATCTTTGGGGCTGACACCCGGATATTTGAGAAGTGAGGGGTCAAGCCCAGAAATTCGGACCGAAGGGCCAGAGCCCCAGGTGTCCGGCCACCAACAGGGCGCCCACCCCTAGGACGTCCGGCCAAACGGCTCCTCTCACGTCAGGGTCTGAGGGTGACAGCCCCTACTCCCTCCCCGGCCTCCTCCCCTTCTCTCTCTCTCCTGAGGGTGGCTGAAAGATTGTAGCTAAGGGCAGTCCCGGCGCCCTCTCCCCTTCTCCTCTTCAGCCTCAGCTTCTCGCCGCGCCGCACCGCACCACAACCCGGGTCTCGTCCGGGTCTCCCTCTCCCTCTTCCTCCCAATTCCAAGATGGAGACCGGGCGGGAGCGCGCAGGCGCCGTAGATCAGCCTGGCGAAAGGAGGCGGGGCTCCAAAAGAAACAGCCCCGCCCCTCTCTTCCTACTGCCTCAGCTGTGAAAACAGGCAGCCACGGGGCCAGAGTGCGCACGCGCTTCGCCACGCGGACCTGGGTGGGAGGGGCGGGGTAAAGGGCTCAACTCCGAGTGGGTGAAGCCCAGCGCGCTTTCGGACAACTGGCGTTGGAGGGACTGTGGATCTTGCGTTCGCCCCGCCTTAGCCGTGAGCCAAGGCTTGTTGCTAGGGTAAGCTTTGAGGGGGTTTGGGTGGAAGGCGAAAAGCCCTGATCTGCGCTTGCGTGCAGGATAGACGATGGGAGGGGCAAGGGAAGGCTGGTGCTGGGCGCTGAAAAGGCGGGAAACTGGGCTGCTCAGGTTGGCAACCAGGGAGCCTGGCCATGCATCTCCCAAGTCGAGGAATCTTTGCTGGCTAACCTGTCAAATCTTTATAGCAAACTGAAGCCTTTTAGAGTTTCATGACCCGTCGAAGGTCATACTGCATTATGTACAAGCATTCCCTTGACCAAACCCACCTGACTCTCTCAACTGGCTGAAATCATCACAGGCATATGGTGACAGAGCGGGGATCAAAACCAGGCATTTACCAAAGCCAAGGTACAACCGTGGGAATAGCTGCATTAACCCATGCCCTGTGACAACCTGTATCCCACACCAAGAATCAACAAGGAAAAGTTCCCCCAGCCTCCTGAGCCAGTCTACTCTAAAATTCCCACGTCAATCCAATTCCCAATAAACACACTGGGCAGCAATGGGCAAAAAATCTTTTAATTTCCCCCCCCCGGCATTCTAGCTCTCCACTTTCTGTTACATCTCTTCCAACTCAGAACCAAGGCCAGAGAAGTTGATTCACACCTGGGGAAAAATAAAATTAAAAAAAAAAGGCAGGTAAGAAAGTCCTTGGGGGAAGTTCTGGAATGGCTGCGGAAATTGAGGGAAGAGCAGAGGAAATGAAGAGATAGGTACAGGCACTCAGTCCAACTGGGATGGCCTCAGGACCCCAGGATCTGCCTGGCACCAGAAAGTATTCCTTTTCCAGTCTGTTCAGATCTAAGGCTTGGTCTCTCCCTTGCACCTCACCAGTCTCTTCCACTCAGCACCGGTCCCCATGGACTGCAGTGTCAGTTCATAGCATCTTAACCTGGCATCAGGGTGCCTCATTTCCTGTCTCAAATAGGTGCTTGCAGCAGTTAGTCCTAGCCCTAAGCAAAATAAGCAAAGTTGATCTCGAATGTCTGGTTCCACTGGCTTTTCTCTGGGCCCAAGTTATTTCTACTTCTTCCATAGTTATGTCCTAGGGCACAGCAGCTGGCTAAAGCTGAGAACAATTTAAGAGCTGGAAGCACAATATATGACTCTCATATTGTATGAGACCCACCTGACAGGGTAAGACTATTTTACAGAAATATTTTATTTTTCTTAATGAGCTGACACACAAACTAGTTAGCCAGTATGTTTCCTACACACTGCTACCTTTGTGAGACTGTGTTCATCCAAAGATTCTGTTGGCAGAGTCAACTTTTCCTAAGGGTAGTGATGGCTAATGGAAAAGAGAAAGTGCATGTAAAGTGCTTGGGCATAATCAATCAATTCTTTTGAGCAGTTCAAGATGAAGTTTACATAATTTGCATAATAAAACTGGGTAACAGAATTTCATGAAAAAGCAAGGCAAACAGGATTCATATCCCAGGACACATGATCAAATTTGAGCCCTCTTAATCTACCAGTTACCAAAAAGCTTGGATGTGAAGGAGAGCTATGGGTAAATCTTTTTTTTTTTAAGGTTTTATTTGTTTAATTTTAGAGAGGGAAGGGAGGGAGAAAGAGAGGAAGAGAAACATCACAGCGTGTTTGCCTCATGTGCGTCCTCTACTAGGGACCTGGCCTGCAACCCATGCATGTGCCCTGACTGATAATCCAATCCCTTTGGTTGGCAGGCTGGTATGCAGTTCACTGAGCCATACCAGCCAGGGCAAGCTATGGGTAAATCTCAAATCCAAATGTTAACCGAAAGAAGTCAGGCACAAAAAAATATGTACGATTCAATCTATATAAAGTTTAAAAATAAGTAAAACCAAACCATATCATTTAGAAATAACTCTATCTCGGTTACAATTCCCACCCCTACCCCATCCCCTTACTCTCACAGGACTGGGGCAAAAATACCTTACCTGAGAACAAGACAGGAACTAGGCCAGTGCCCTCAGAGCCGAGTTCTAGACCAGGACAACTCCCGGCGTGGATGAAAGCACACAGCAGTTAAAAAGCAGAGAAGGCCACCAAGGAGAAGCAGGAAGAAGCCCAAAACCAGCAGCCTGGAGCCACACAGAGCCAGCTCTTCCTAAGGGTGGGTACAGGGAGGGAAGGAGATATGAATGAGACAGAGGAAGGATAGAGAATCTTCCCTTAGGAAGACATCTTACTCCCAGCCCAAGTCTATGGAGAGAAGCCTCCATGGTGGGGAAGGCCTCTCCACAACCAAGGAGTAACTAAAGGGGAAATGTTATTTCTATACAAGCTGTCTCCATGGTCTACAAATTGCTTTCTTGCCCAACCATTGAACCCCCTAACAATGACTATGAGAATTCACTATCATCCACATTTTAAAGATGTGGAAGCAGGGCCAGGTCTGGAACCAAGATCTTCTCTGATTCCAAGCTCTCAGGTGATGCTCCTCACCAGGGTCTTTGCAAGTGTGAGGGAAGAGTATGTAGCAGCCTCCTAACTGGTTTCTCTCCTCCACTTGTTTAGTGTCTTCCACTCGACATCAGCGGCCCCATGCCTGCAGTGTCTAGTCATAGCATCTTATCCCGGCATAGCAGTGCCTCATGCTCAGACCCCTGCATCTCTCCTGCTTCTTACCCTAAGTCATTCCTAAGCCCCTCATCAAGAAGTGTCCTCAAAGGCTAAACACTTCTCATTCTCTAGGCCTGTGCTCATGCTGGTCCTTTATGCCTAAAATGTATTGCCTCTTTCCTGAACCCCCTCTAGTGCATTCTCTGCCTAAATTCTCTGACTGATAATCCAATCCCTTTGGTTTGCAGGCTGGTATGCAGTTCACTGAGCCTGACATTTCCAGGGATCATCCTGACAGGACAGAACAAGGCTGGGACTCAGAGTCAGAAAGCCTAGGTTGATAGCCTAGGTCTGCTGCTTAAGTAGGTGTATGGCCATGGGCAATTTACTCCCTCTTTCTGAACCTGTTTCCTCATTCTGTAAAATGGGATGATAACAGCCACCTCAAAAGGCTGTTTTAATATCAAATGAGATAATGAATCTGAAAGCACTCTGTATACTACTGTGCATGAGTCCCTTTTTTAAATGCCACCATGTCTGTGAAACACTCTCCATAAATGTTCATATTAGAGTTAATTGCTCCTTATACTGTGATTGAATAACACTTTGCTCACATCTCTATGCTACCAATTAACTTATTACGCCTCCTAGTCCAGCTTCTGAATTCCTTTGAGGTAGAGGTCATGTTTAATTGTATTTAAAGACAATAGTTAATAGTACTGACTATCATTTATCAAGTCTCTATTATGTACCAGGCATTGTACTGGGTACACTCACTCTCATTTATTTTTTCAAATTAGGAGATAGTATCATGTTTTCTGTTTTACAGATGTGGAAGTGAGGCTCATAGACATTCAGGTGCTATTCAAGATCACACAGGCTCCCAGTCAGGATTACAAAACCTATGTTTTATCCAATAGGTAATATTGCCTTCAAGACACAACATGCAGCAAAAGACATCTATGAAAGCCTGATAACCTGAAGAAGCTCTTACCGCCGTGAGCAGCTTGGTGAGCACAATGCCTTCCTGGCTCCATACCCTGATACAATCCTCACCCATCCTAGGGCTCAGGGTGGCATTTCCTACTCCCTCCTCTGAGCAGGATATGGGTGGCTGGCTGGAGGGCAGAAGTCCTGGAGCAGCACTAAAATACAGGCAGATTCCTGGGGTCTTTTCCGTGGTGACCCTGGCTGTAACAAGGACCCATTCTCCTGCAGAAGGTCCTATGGGAGGCACCAGAGAGGAGATGGAAGAACATGAAGGGTCGGGTGGGAACCACCCATTTTCAGACTTCTATTCATTTCTACTGTAGGACAGTACCAAGTGGTTTGGCACTGATTCTATTCAATAAAGTACTCTATACGCCATCATTTACATCACTGAAAAAATGAAAATAACTAGGTACCCATATAAACAAAAATTAAATTAGCTTCAAAACAACAAAACAAATACACCAGTGATTACAAAGTTGCAATGAGATTGGGATGGATACACACTGTCAGTGTTGTATAAGTTAGTTTGTTCTTTTTAAATAAAACATTTTCCACTAGGTACCAAAATACAGGAAAAGGTTCACATCCCATTTCAAATTAGTGGGACAATATAGTAGCCTATTTAGTCAATGGCCTTGGGACAATTTCCATTTGGGAAAGAAAATTAGACTCTTATCTCACTATAAAATAAGGTCCAGATGTATTAAAGACCTATACAAAAAAAAAGGAAACAAAACAAAAACCTAGGCAAATATTATAAGAAAATAAAGAATATTTTGTCATTTTAAGGTTGAGAAGCCCCTCCTAAAAAAAGACACATTTAAAAGCCTGAGTAAAGAGTAACAGAAATAAACTTAACCTCATAACAAATTAAAGACTTCTACACAATGAAAGGTAAGTTAAAAACAAGTCACAGTTTTTTTGACTTCTGGTCAAGATGGAGGTGTAGGTAAACACAGCTCACCTCCCCGCACAACCAGGGCAAAAACGGCAAGTAAGCTACAAAACAAGTATTATCTAGAGTTGTCAGAAAATCGAGCTGTATGGAAATCTGACAACTGAGGAATTGGAGAAGTCACATTCACCTAGCCGGGTAGGGTAAGTGGAGATGCGGAGCTGCAGAATGGGCAGTCCCACAACTACATGTGGTGTATAAACATCAGGAGGGATACTTTGAGAGTGAGGGATCCCAGCTCCATACCAGACCACCCAGCTCAGGATTCCCAGTGCCAGGAGGATAAGGCCCCATAACTTCTGGCTGGGAAAACCAGTGTGGGTGGGGACAGTAGAAGAAACTGCAGGATTCTCAGGTATTTCCTCTTAGAGGGCCAAACTGGACTTAGGACTTAACACGGACTCACTCCCTTTGGGCTCCAGCACCAGGGCAGCAGCTGGAAGGGCACCAGTGGTGTGTGGGGAGAAACTGAAGTGTCTGGCATCAGGGCAAGTGCCAGGGAACAGCTTCTTCCGAGAAAAAAGTCCAGAGGACAGGCAGCAGCCACTGTCCCTTTTCAGCGCCCTCTCCCACACAGAGCCACAGAGAGGCAACACCGTATCTGTGACTCCATCAACCTGGCTCACGTGGGCTGCCCCACCTTGGTGATTACCAAAGGCCCCACCCCATCCAAATTACAGTGTGCTCTGCTAAAATAGGCCATGCTACTAAGACAGGGAGTCAAAAGCAGCTCTGCCTAACACAAGGAAACAAACACAGGGAGGATGCCAAAATGAGGAGACAAAGAAATATGGCCCAAATGAAAGAACAGGTCAAACTGAAGAAAAAGAACTAAAAAGCCCTGGCTGGTGTGGCTCAGTGGATTGAGTGCCAGCCTGCGAACCAAAAGGTTGACAGTTTGATTCCCAGTCAGGGCACGTGCCTGGGTTGCAGGCCAGGTCCCCAGTAGGGGACACATGAGAGGCAACTAATCAACGTATCTCTCATACGTGATGTTTTTCTCCCTTTTTCCCTCCTTTTCCCTCTTTCTAAAACAAAAAATAAATAAAATCTTTAAAAATTTTTTAAAAAGAACTAAACAAAATGGAAATAAAGCCAAAGAACTTACATGCACAATGCGTGGACATGAACTAAGGGGAGGGGGTACTGCTGGAGGGAATGTGGGTACCCGGCAGAGGGGGCAAAAGGGAAAAATTGAGACAACTGTAATAGCATAATCAATAAAATATATTTTTAAAGATTTTATTTATTTCTGTTTAGAGGGGAAGGGAAGAAGAGAAGGAGAGAAATATCACTGTATGGTTGCCTCTCGTGCGCCCCTCACTGGGAACTGGACTGCAACCCAGGCGTGTGCCCTGACTGGAAATCGAATAGTGATACTCTGGTTCGCAGGCCCGCGCTCAATCCACTGAGCTACACTAGCCAGGGGCCAATAAAATATTTTTTTAAAAAACAAGTAACTGATTGAAAATACCTATAATAGATTTAATTGGTAAAATGTTTACTGTCCATAATGTATAAAGACCTAAAAATCAAGTAAATAAAGACAAAGAAAAATAAGTAAAGAGTATGAACAGGAAATTCAGAGAAAATATGAAAATGGCCAATAAACTTATTAGAGGATGTTCAACCTCACTAGCAATCAGGAGAAAGTAAATTAAAACTATTAGGTAATTCCTTTGCCCATTAAATTGGTAAAAATTAAAAAGAGTGATACTAACAAGAGTTGTTGAAGATATGGGGACATGGGGACTCTCAATTGGTGACATCTTTTGGAAGATCATTTGGCTATTATCTGTTGTCATCTGGGTGCAGAGAGGGACTAAGAAAATGCCCACCAAACTGTCAAGTCTGCAGGGGCAGTAGGAGGGCTTTTGGATACTTCCATGTGGTCTGAATTCACAACATAAAGCATTTGTCTATATAAAGAAAAGAATATTTAGGGTAAAAAAAAAGGAGCGCCATATCCTTTGACTCAATAATACTATTTGTAGAAACTAATCCTAAGGAAAAAAATTCAAAAGAAAAATGCAAAATATCCCAAGATACTTATTCTGATTCCATTTTTAAAAAGGAGGAAACAATAGAGATGTTTAACAACAGGGAAAGCATTAACCAATGTCGGCCTAACCATTAATGAATCACTTTACCTCCTTTAAAATAATGCTTTTGTTTTTTTGCACTAATATAAAAGGCATGATGTCCTAAGTGAAAAAAGACATATACGACCAGTATATCCATCAGAATTACAACTGAGAAACTTACATGTGAAATTCTATGAGAGAACTCCCCTTTTTTCTATGTATCCACATTGAATCTGTCACCAAGTCCTGTAAATCTCACACTTCTAATGTCTCCCTCAAATCAGTCACCTTTTTTCACAGGACTGTCTTAGCTCAGTTTTTTCTCATCATCTTTTTATTGTAGCCACCTCCCAACTGGTGTTCCTGTATCTGGACGCATTCTTTCCAGGCATTCAGCCAACAAGTATTATCTTTTTAAAAGAACATGTAAACAAAATTTTACTATTTTCCTGATTAAAATATTTGTGTTTTCCCAGTGCATTAGATAAAGACCAACTACCTTGACTTGGCACATGAGACCATCCATGGGATTCTGCCTGCTTCTTCAGGTTCATGACCTGGCATGCACTCAACAGTCCTTTCCCTGTATCCCCCTGGAAGCTCCTAAACATACTAGCATAGTCCCTCTATCTGCATACCCTTGCATATGCTCTTCCCTCTGGCTGGAAGGGTACCCTCACAGGCCTACCTCATGCTTCAGCTCAGGCCCTGTATCCTTGGAAAAGCCTGTCTTTACCACCCCTGCTTGGCAGACTTCTGAGTACTCCCACTGTACTTTGTGTTCTATTTCACACATTGCAAGGTACTGATTTCTGTTCACCTCTGTACCCTTGCTAGGCCATGAGCAACTTGAAATGAGGGTCCATGTCTAACAGATCTCTAAACTCCCCATGCTTGGTACATAGTAGGTGCTCATTTCTAATTTTATTCAAAATAATTTTTAATGCTACTTTGTTTCTGACCATTATTTTTAAAACAGGGCTTCTCTGCAGAGGCAAAAACTGACAAGCTGATCCTAAAGTTCATATGGAAATTTAAAGGATCCAGAATAGCCAAAAATTAACTCAAAATGGATCACAGACCTACATATTAGAGGTAAAATTATAAAATTCTTAGAAGAAAATATAGAAGTAAGTCATAGAGAATTTGGGTGAGGCAAAGTTTTCTTACATATAATACTAAAATTACAAGCAACAATAGAAGAATAGGTAAGCTGGAATTCATCTAAATCAAAAACATTTGTGCTTCAAAGTGTACCATCAGCAAAGTGAAAAGAACCCAGAGAATGTGACAGAATATTTACAAATGATACACCAGTAAGAGACCTGTATCTAGAAAATATATATATAAAGAACTCCTACAACTGAATAATTAAAAGACATGTTACCCAATTTTATTATTTTTAGAAGATTTTATGTATTTATTTTTAAAAGGGAAGGGAGAGAGAAAGAGGGAGAGAAACAACAATGTGTAGTTGCTTCTTGCAAGCCTCCTAACTGGGGACCTGGCCCCCAACCCAGGCATGTGCCCTGACTGGGAATCAAACCAGTGACCCCTTGCTCTGCAGGCCAGCACTCAATCCACCGAGCCACAGCAGCCAGGGCCACATTACCCAATTTTAAAAATGTGCTAAGACTGCGTATACATTTCTCCAAAAATATGCAAATGGCTAATAAGCACATGAAAAAATTATCCATGTCATTAGTCACCAGGAACACACAAAGCAAAATCACAGTGAGACACCACTGTACAATGACGATGAGGGCTATAATCGAAGACAGATAATAGCAAGCGTTGGGCAAGGTGTGGTGAAATGAAACTTTCATACATTTCTGGTGGGAATATCAAATGGTACAGCCACTTTGAAAACAGGCTGGCAGTTCCTCAAAAGATTAAACAGAGTTGACCCTGGCCAGGCTGATGTGGCCCAGTGGACTGAGCACTGGCCTACAAACCAAAAGGTCACTTGTTTAATCCCCAGTCAGGGCACAAGCCTGGGTTGTGGACCAGGTCCCCAGCTGGGGGCATGTGAGGGGCAACCAATCACTGTAACTCTTGTGCATCGATGTTTCTCTCCCTCTTTTTCTCCTTCCCTTCCTCTCTCCCCCAAAATAAATAAATATAAATGGAGTTACCATATGACCCAGCAATTCCACTCCTGGTTGTATGCCCAAAAGAAATAAAAATATATGATCACACCCTGACCAGTGTGACTCCCAGTTGCTTGGGCAACATCCCACAAGGAGTTCAGTTCCCAGTCAGGGCACATTCCTGGGTTGTGGGTTGTTTTGTCCCCAGTTGGGGCGCATAAGAGAGGCAAATGATAGATGTTTCTCACATCAATGTTTCTTTCCTCTTTTTCTCTCCCTTCCCATCTTTAAAAAAAACATGATCACTCAGAAACTTGTACATCATTCACAATAGCCGAAAGGTGAGAACAATTCAAATGTCAATTAAATGACGAGTAGACAAATAAAATGTGGAATAGTCATACAGTGAATACTATTAAGCAAAAAAAAAAAAAAGTACTCCTATGCATTACAACATAGATGAATCTTAAAAACATTATGCTAGGTGCCCTGGCTGGTGTAGCTCAGTGGATTGAGCGCAGGCCTGGGAATCAAGCAACCACAGTTCGATTCCCGGTCAGGGCACATGCCTAGGTTGCAGGCCAGTTCCCAGCAGGGGACACACAAGAAGCAACCATACATTGATATTTCTCTCCCTCTCTCCTTCCCTTCCCCTCTAAAGATAAATAAATAAATCTTAAAAACACACACACACACACACACACACACACACACACACACACACATTATGCTAGGTGATAGAAGCCAGTCCCAAAAAAATATATGTTATCTAGAGACAGCAAATCTAGAGACAGGAAGTAGATTAGTTAGTGGTTGCCAAGAGCTGGGAGGTTGGAAGAAAAAGGACTGCTATATATCAGACATATTCCTTTATTCTTGCTCTTTGATCACACAATACACACCTACACATACAAAAACCTACTCCCCCACAGACATATATGATTCATAGGAGAATCTTAGAATAATAATATTGAAAAGGACCTCAGAAGTCAGAGAATTCCACCATTCTCTCCTCCTCCCTCTTCATCTCCCATTTTTTTAAGATAATGAACCTGAGGCCAAATCTCACACAGGAATTAATGGAACCCACTGACTCTCACTCATCATCTTCCCAGAAGATTTTAAGTGCTTTGGAAATGGGTGATGTCTAATTTTTTCTGAATCCTCCTCTGCACATAGAGCTGTGCTAAGCACATAACAGGTAGTAAAGACACATTTAACTGAACAGAACATGCTTGTTAGGTACCCCTAAGGAAAGAGGTGCTTTGGTGAGAAGGCCATAAGAATGAAGAGGGATATCAAAGAAATTTAGGTCAAATCTAGCCCATTTCATCACATCTCCAAGGACAGAATCAAAGAACCCTAGAGCTGGAAGGGGAGAAGGAAATCATTTATAGAGAACATACACAGTGGGCATCGCTTTCCTGTAAGTATCTAGTGCTTATTATAGCAGAAGTGACTAAGGCCGAGGGATGTGCTTAAGGTCACCAGGTTGGGGAGTGTTCTGATGTCCAATCCCACAGTCCTCCTTGATCTCACCTTTCCATCCCATCTGACTACCCAGAACCTTGGCTTGGAATATCTGGGTGTTGTTCCTGTCTGGACCATCTCCGAAGTTCAAGGTGGTCAGCAAGCCCACAATGTGGGATGCATGCCACTCCCCTGTGACTTTCCTAGTCACAGGGCAGAGGGTCAGCTGGCCAAAAGATCTCAAAAAGGAGACCCAGTCCTGTGTGCAAAAGAAAGGTGGTTGAGAGGTGAGAGATTATCAGCAAGAGCAGGCCTACATGGGACAGAGGAGCAGGAGGGTACTCACCTGAGGGATGTCGGGGCTGCGCAGGCCAGTCTTGTGCGTGACGAGGAAGCCACCAAGGCCCAGGCCAGAAAGGCCAAGAAGCAGAACCATCAAAGTGGCACAGGCCAGAGGTGGGTGGTGGGCCAGACAGAGATGCAGGTTGTGCCCTGCCTGGCAGCTGCCCATGGGGAGTAGAGGGGTCTGGGCCTCCACGGAAAGCCTGCTGGAGGACAGGAAGGGAACACTGGACAAGAGCCTGCCAGTCAGAAGGCACTTACCCATTTTACTCAAAGGGAAGCTAAAGCACCAAAACAAGGGACTTGCCCAAAGCCACACACAGTAGCAGAGGCAGGACAAGAATCTAAGGCTCTTAACTCCAATTGTTCATCTCCCTGTACCACTCAATAAATGTTGCTGCTTTTTATTTCTGAAATAAGGCAGAAGTAGAGCAGAACACGCTGTGCTGGAAAAAGGAACCTAAAAAGGAGAATTCTTTAAGGCAGAAACTCAGGAAACAGCTGTTCTGGAGCTAGGGTTTGGCTGCAGAAGAGTCCTAGCCAATAGCCCAAAGAAAGTGTCTGACAAAAGAAACCCACTTTGGAGTTAAACTGCTCAGTTTGAATCCTCTGCCATTCATTGGCTCTATAAGAAAATCAAACTTTGGAAGTTTAAGGACCTGTGAAATGGGAGCTCTAAACCAGGTAATGAGGACTGAATGCGGCAGATAAAACAGTTTGTATAATACTTGGCCATGCAGGAACTCAACAAGTGACCATTTCTTTTCTATTTTTCAGTGTCATATTTATCTTCAAAACCAGGTGAGGCAAGGCAAAAAATACTGTGGGTAAAACCGAGGCTCGTGGACATTAACACAGGAACGGTGAGGCCAAGATGTCTCCTGCTTCCAAGTGAAGTGCTCTTTCCCAGGAGCGATGCAAAGGAACATCTGGAAAGAGGATGAGGATAAAAGAGCTCCAGGAAAATGCAGGTGTCACAAAGGCTCAGCCCCCTGCCCTGCCTCCCGTCCCGGCACATTTGGAAAGTAGGAAAAGGCAGGAAGGGAGAGGGCAGAGGCTAAGGGTCAGAGATTGATGGTGCCCCTGGGCCTCCCCTTCCCCTAGCCGCCCAGCAGGAACTCTACACACGCATCCCTTCCCAGTCTATCTGCTTGGAGTGCGCCAGCCGCTCACTCTCACCACTCGGAGCCAGTCGAAGCCGGGCCCCCGCAACGTCACGCGTGGAGCCGCGAAGGGGCGGAGTCTGTGATTCCGACCCCCCTCCCCACACCTCTTGGCGGGGATTCGCATGCGCAGTGCCCAAGCTTGCGGCTGCCTCTCCTCGAATCAGTGTGCGGATGTACCAAGAGGATATCCAATGAAGGGGTAAAGGGGAAGATATAACTTCGCGGAAGGTGCATACAAGGTAAAGAGGCAAGGGGACTAACCCCAGAGACGTTGTTAGAACTGTAAGCTCCCCCCCCCCCCCCCCCCCCCCCGCGCAGACCGTGAGGGTACTTAAACGCGGTTCTCTGTGCTAAGCTCCCACCCGCACCAGTAGCACAGTCCTGCCGCGCCCAGGTTCTGGCCAAGGACTTGGGCCCGCCCTGGGGTGGGGCTCCAATTCCAGGACTTTGGTTTTCCGGGATAAGTAGAGGTTCCGTTCTTCTCTGAAGCCAGAAATAATCATATTAAACGTTTTCGCATCAGTTGTGGCCCCTGACCTTTAGTCACTTCTTTTGTTCTTTCTTTGTTTTTTTAAGTCCTCACAGTAGGATATGTTTATTGATTTTAGAGAGTGGAAGGGGGGAGAGTGAGAAGCAAAAAAAACAAAACATTCATAGAAACATTCATCAGTTGTCTCCTGCGAACGCTGCCACAGGGATCCAATGTGTATGGAGCCATGCGGCTAGACTAGTAACTCCTTAATTAGTAGGATCCTACAAGCTGCAAGGCTGCTTTACAGATACCATCTCATTTCACTTTTATCCACATTTTAGAGCTGAGAACGCCGAGGTCCATCTTACCTGAAATTACAGGACAAATACAGCCAAGAACCTGGATTCAAATCCTTCCTCTCTGTGCCCTTCCATAAGCTACAACCATGCTTTTCTGGGGATCGAGTTTATTCCTCTGTAAAGAGGATCACCATGCATACCTCACTGGTTGGCTGGGAAGCTGAGACAAAGTATGGGAAAACATGGGCCCAAATGTCCACGGAACACAACCAGCACTGGACAACTAATGTAGAAACAGAATTTGAGTACTAAACTCTACTGGGGCCTCCTTAAGACAGAGATCATGTCATTTCTGTACTACCTCCAGAATTTACAGCACAAAATCATCTCATGTAAGGCCAAATGATACTTGACAAGGGTGCCAAAACCATTCAGTGGGGAAAAAAATTGTCTTACTCAATAAATGCTGTTGGGAAAACTGGATATTCACATACAAAAGAAGGAGGTTAAATCCTTATCTTTACACCATATACAAAAGTTAATTATAATGCATGGAAGAACTAAATGAAGCAGCTGAAACCATAAAACTTTAAAGACTTTATTTTTATTTATTTAAAGATTTCTTTCTTTTTAGAGAGAGGGGAAGGGAGGGAGAAAGAGAAGGAGAGAAACATCAATGTGTGCTTGCCTCTCGTGTGCCCTCCCCACATTGGGGACCTGGCCCACAACCCAGGCATGTGCCCTGACTGGGAATCAAACTGGTAACCCTTTGGTTTACAGGCCGGCACTCAATCAACTGAGTCACATCAGCCAGGGTGAAACTATAAAACTTTTAGAAGAAAACATAGGTGGAAAGCTTTACGACACTGGGTTTGGCAATGATTTCTTGGATGATACCAAAAGCACAGGCAGCAAAAGAAAAAAATAGATAAGTTGGACTACATCAAAATTTAAAACTTCTGTGCATTAAAGGACAAAACAGTATGAAAAGGCAATCCATGACATGGGAGGAAATATTTGCAAATTATATATCTGTGAAGGAGTTCATATCTAGAAGATGTAAAGACCAGACCTACGACTAAACAACAACACATAGAGCCAACCCAATTAAAAAGTGCAGAAAGGACGTGAATAGACATTTCTCCACAGAAGACATACAAATGACCAACAACACATGAACAGATGCTCCATATCACTAACATCAAGGAAATGCAAATCAAAACCAGAATTAGGCTCTAGCTCACACCTATTAGAATAGTTGTCTTTTTTGTTTTGTTTTGTTTTTTGTTTTTTAAAAAGGAGGATAACAAGTGCTGGCAAGCCTGTGGAGAGATTGGAACCCTTGTGCACTGTTGGTAGGAATGTAAAATGGTATAGCCGCTATGGAAAACAGACTGGTATATCTTCAAAAAATTAAAAATAGAATTACCATATTATCCAGCAATCCCACTCTTCAGGACATACCCCCACGAGTTAAAAGTAGGGTTTCAAAAAGATATTTGTACACCTCAGATCATAGCAGCATTATTCACAAGAACTAAAAGGTAGAAGCAACCCAAGTGTCCATCGACAGAGGAATGGATAAACAAAATATGGGATATACATATAATGGAACATTATTGAGCCTTAAAAAGGAAGGACAGCTCTGGCTGGGTGGTTCAATTGGTTGGAATGTCTTCCCATACACTAAAAGGTTGCAGGTTCGATTCCTAGTCAGGGCACACACCTAGGTTGCCAGTTTGATCCCTGATCAGGGAGTACACGGGCAATGATCAATGTTTCTCTCTCCCATTGATGTCTGCCTGTCTATCTGCCTGTCTTTCTTTTCCCTTTCCTCTCTCTCTTAAGTCAATAAACATACCTTTGGGTGAGGATTAAAAAAAAGAGGAATGGCAACATGGCATATGCTACAACATAGATGAACCTTTTACAAAGTGAAATAAGCCAGTCACAAAAAGACAAATATTGTATGATTCCACTTATATGAGGTACCTGGAGTAGTCAAATTCATTAAGGCAGTAGAATGATGGAAGTGAGGAGTTATGGTTTAATGTGTTTAGAGGTTGAGTTTTGCAAGATGAAAACAGCTGTGGAGATGGAAGGTGGTGATGGTTGGGAAACAAGATGGATGTGCTTAACACTACTAAACTATACATTTTAAATGGTTAAGATGGTAAATTTTTTTAGGTGTATTTCGCTACAATTAAAAATAAATTTTAAGAAACTGGAGGAAGCCCTGGCCAGTGTGGCTCAGTGGTTGGAGCGTTGTCCAATAACTGAAAGATTGAGGGTTAGGCTCCCAGTCAAGGCATATGCCTGGGTTTCAGGTTCATCCTCGTTCCGGGTGCTGGATCATGCAATCCCCACTCCCACCTGGTCCAGACACATACGATCCCCAGTCCTAGTCCCAGTGCGATCCCTGGTTTGGGTGCATACGAAGCAACCAATCGATGCTTCTCTTGCAGGAATCTTTCTCTCCCTTCTTCTCGCTCTAAAAAAGCAAACGAAAATGTCCTAGGGTGAGGAGGGAGGAACTGGAGGAAGGGCGGAATTTATGTCGTCTCCTAGACTATAGTGAGTGTTTTATGAGTGGCACCGATTGACTTAAATGAAATTCCAAGCATAGGAAGTATTTTCTTCGCAAAGGAAAAATAAAAGTGTGATAGAGAATTTTAGAATTTAGGAATTGTGAGGCACTTAATAAATGAACAAGTTCAACAACCTTCCCTCTCTTTGTTTTACAGATGCTAAACTGATGTCTGGAGAGCTTAAGGGACTTGCTCCAAGTCTCCCAACCAGTAGGCCTGAGTCTCAATACCAAATCCAGTCCTTTCCCACTAAACCCTCCTTCTTCAGCCCTGCCAAGAGATCTCTCCTGAAAACCTTCAAAGGTCTCTGCCCATTTGGTCCCACCCTGCCCACTCTGGGCCAACTAGGTAGGCTTTCCCTAGTCTTGGTCTAATCTCTCAGGCCAACACCTAAGTTTCTGGAATAGTATGTTCTTGCAAGCCCCATGTCTTTCATAGTTCGAGCATATAGTATTCACTCTATAACTATTTGGTGATTGATTTATTCAAAACAGCTTCATTCAGACCCGTTTCCTGAGAACTCACCAATTTTCAGTCTCATTTTATGGTTGGGAACACATCTGCCCATGCTTGAATGTTTGTGAAATTTAAGTTAAAACACAAAAGAAAGTATTTAGTCAACAACTATTTTTTAGTATCTGTTATGGTCCAGGTACAAAGTTAATATCCATGCAGTAAAGACTTTGTCAAGCTTCTAAAAATGACAAGCGTAATTTGTAGGGTAAGATAAGGCATGAAAGTGCTGGTATACAATAGGAAGTCAACAAATGTGAGTCCCCCCAGTATTCTTGCACTGCAGAGTAATTGGGCATATGGGGACAGAAGTTCCTTTAAATGACCATAATTAATATTTACTCATATAGTCAAACCAAGCTATTCTATGGACCAATAGAGGCAAACAGGTTAGAGAAAAGAACTACCTTGAGGCTTGTACATCAGGGTAAATGGATGTAGACAAATGTCTGATACAGAAAAAAAGGAAAGGTGGTGGTGGGGGTACAGGAGGACACAGAATTGGTTGTACATTGTAACGCTCCAGCATTATGCCAACACTCTGACTTTACCCACTCATCGTGCTCTTAAAGTAGATGTTATGGTGACAACCTGCTCCTAGACAGCTTATGCAATTTAACTTAGGTCACATAGGTACCAGGTAGCAGAAGCTGGCTTATAACTTAAGCCTGACTGCAGCCTACAGGTGAGACTCAGAAAGCCGAGGAGGGAATCATCCAGCCCCTTGAAAGGAGTTGAGAGCAGGGTTCCTTGATCACTCCATGGTGATAAATTTCTCTCAGAGCTCTGGGCCAGACACAGTTTCTTCCAGGGATCTATTTGATTTTTTTCCCCTTCAAAATTATTGTCTTGAAACTTTTTAGGGATAAAGATCCCTTTGAAAATCTGATGAAAGTTTTTTATTCAGTCAGTCAGTCAGTCAGTCAGTCAGTCAGATATTCATTCAATAAACACCTCTGAGTTACCAGGCTCTATTCTGTGGCCTTGAATACAATGGCAGAAAAAGTATTCAGGATCCCCAGCCTTCTCTGGAACTACAGTCTGCGTATGGACCCTCTCCCTGGAAAAATGCACTTTCACCTAAATATTTACATGTAGTTTCAGTGAGTGGAACCTCAGTCCTCTTGAAGCCATCCTTGGACAAGAGCCCCTATTTATTTAATAAGGGCCCTTCTACCCTAGCTGGACCTCAGTTTTGTGTTTCGTTTTATATTGGAGCTGCTTGATAAAATTAGTCCTTCTCTCCCTTTTTAGTATTAATACTTGGTTTTATCCTGTGCCTATTCATTCATTCAATCAACTGATCCATTCATTCAGCAAACATTTGAACCCTTGTTAAATACCAGGTACTTGATTAGACA